TGAAATACAGTAACGATTATCAAATGATTTTGTTATACAACATATTACAATTATTCTAGTACCTTTGTCCCATAATAATAGTAACAAAATAAAATAAGTATGAAATGCAGCATTTATTATAAAATTAAACAATAAATTAAAAATATTACTCCTAATTTTTGTTTTGTAAATAATAAATTAGCCACTTGCCAAATTTGATTATAGCTTTGCATCTATCATTGAACTAAACTCATTTGAGATTATAATGCATACAGTCTTGTCTACAAATGGTTGATAAAAAAACAAACAAGATTAGCAGTCTCGAAAGAGTCAACTCCCGTATCCTGTATCTAATCAACCGATCTCATTTTCGATTTCACGTTGGTAACTACTTACTTGTGTAATATCCACGTCGAGCTTTTATTCTCGTTGTCAGTCAATCTTGTCCTCTTGCAACAATGAACGTCCGTAACTATAGCTCCGGTCAGTTATCTTATCTCTGCCACATGTCAGTTTCTTGATCTTATTAAATCAATCCGTATAAAGGCATTATTGAATTACTAACCAACTGTTTGATTTCATCCAACAGAACGAAGTGTGTACATATTGTTATGTCAGTATACGTATCTCAAATTATGAAATAGAATGATTGTATTCCTCTTTATTTCTGACTCTCCTTTTCTATGTCAGAAACAGATTTTACACACGTTTGAAAGATTGTTCATTCCTCGTTAAGTTCGAGTGGCTCGTAAATAATTTGGAAATGAAAGGATCAATCTGGGCTTGGGACGAGAGGTAATGAATCGCAGGCGTCCAATTACGCATTAATAACAAGGCGGCGTAAAAGGACCGATTATCTCGCTTCGGGTACGTACAATGTGCGAAAGTCAGCGGCTTGTTTTCCAACGAACGAACTGACGGTTATGGCCACCGCCGTGGACAGGAACCATAAATATATACGTGGTCCGTGAGGTTTCTGCATGCCCGCCACCAACGGATTATTTCCTTAATTGATCGCCGCGGCGGTCCACCTTCGAGTGTCGCCTGACGATCCTATCAACGATCCTTATCCCCGAGTATAGGTGGCCTCTCGCTGCTTAATCTACGAGATCTCGCGCGCGTGAACGTCTCCCACGCCCGGCGTTCGAAAGCCAGGGAATATTCATCGCTTCGGTTCCGCGTCGCCGCACCGGCGCGAATAATTAAACGATTCTGACCGACGGCCGACGGACCACGAGAAATCGCGACCGTGGGCGTTCACGCTTCTTCGATAGAGTCAAGTTAGGTCGTTGTCGGATGCGGATTGATTTCAAGACAGTGTTCTACTGAAGAAGAAATTCTTCTGTTTCTGAGCATTCCAATAAGTAAGTGTAGATACAGATTTTTATTATATGCACAAAAATTCATGACATGAGCCAAATTCATTTAAGAGCCACATTCATATCACGATACTAAACGTCTAGACGTACTAAACGTACTAGACGTTTGATTTCTTTTTAAAAAATGCGTTTCTAAAGTGCATAAATTTTTGGGATTGACTGTATAGCCAATACATCCTTAAATTGATACGACAAATTTTGTATTTTGTATAAAGTCTACGTATGATATATTCGTATTCTCTCGGATATGAGAGAACCAAATTTGTCGTGTTACGAATTAACACTGTTCTACGGATTGCGCACGATTCCTTTACAAATTGATACCTGTTGAATCACGTGGAAGCTTGCGAATACGATACGGAAATCGCCAAGCGTGGGTGATCCGCATTTGCCTAGAGCTCAGGCACCAGGAACAGTCACGATCGTAATATTTAGTACGTCGACGTATGTACATATATCCACATTTATTGCGTCCCCTCGCGCGCGATTGCCTCGTAAACTCGCGGATATTCTCGGAAATCACCGAGCGTTCTTTTACTCACCGAGTGACAGCTCTTTCTAACGCAATTCCAACGTATGTGTTCATAATTTAGTAGTATTACGAATTATCTTCGAGTGTCAGTTCCTTAAAACTTTTTATTTAGATCAGGTTAGTTTAGGCGGAATAGGTTTACTCTCGCTTAGTCTATTCTTTACGATGAACGATACAAAACTGAAAGGATTTTATGATTGATCATTGATCATTATTATGATCGAGAATGAGCAAGCAATTTTAAAAGTAACTACTTTACTTTAGAAGATTTGGTTAATGAAAAAAGTTGCCAAGTTTCTTTACAAAAAAGTGATATTATTTTATTTAAATAATATTAAATTGAAAAAGCAAACTTTCTTACATACATATGTATTTTTTAATGTTTATCTTCTGTGTATTATTATTTTGTCTGTATTGTTTTGTTTATAATAAAAGCTATACTTCATCTTTATTTCCATTTATTTTTTTTATTTTGCTCGGTGATTAACAAGTTTGATATGCTTGCCTTAAAACATTTTATTTAGAGAAAAACAAATCTATATTGTAGTTTCGAGACAGAGCCAGAGACGAAACACGAGATACCGAGACATCATAGATAGCGGATCGATTCCTGTTATGCTTTGGTGAACAGTTTCTCGAGCATTTCCGTTAAACGCGACGTTCGAATAACCGTATACGTATACGAAAACGTCGTGCATCGGTTAGCATAATTATAGTTGCACATGGGACAAAGGAGTAAACGAGAATCTTTACCGTGGCATAGGAGCACGGTCGCCGGTCGTCGCGAGCGTTGTCGCCGTTATCTTTGCGGGGCACGATCGTTTCTCACCGCCTAAGTATACGCTCATCGGCGCGGGCGGCGCAAGGAGCGTTGCCTGTGTAATCTGGGATGTTAATCGGGCAACATCGACTTGTATTACGGTACAAAGTAATGTCGTAATATACTACATAGCCGGCGGTGAATTAGTTTGGACGTTCAATGAAAATCGAACCGACTAGCTGTAGAGTAGTACAGAGCGTAGAATACAGGGGCAAGATCGTTTATTAAATGGCGCGCGCGCGCGCTCGGATTAATCTTGTTCGTGCAATGCATTAATCGTTTCACGTTTCAAAGGTGAACCGTGCATCTGAAATGAGGATCGGACGACGATTTAGGTATAAAAATCTACAGCAGCGTAGTATCTACACTGGCAATCTTGTAAATCGCGTGTAATCTTTTAAAATAGAGAGAATTTCTCCCTTTTTCTCTTTCTCTCTCTCTCTCTCTCGCTCTCTTTGGACTTGGGAATAGTCTAGAAGGGTTGAACTCGCAAGCGCGAGCACCGGCCTGTTATAAATAATTACCGAAGCAAGACATTGAACACATCCTTTTCTTTTTCACGCGGTTTTAACGACGCCTATGGGACACGGGGTGGGGGACGAGTAATCATAGCGATGCGCCGCGTAATGATTCACGGTAAATTCTTTGACCTAGCTTATTACTTTAATTAGGGAACGCCGCGCCGCGCCTCGCCGGAACGAGACGCGTGACAAGCACGCGGAGTAAGAAACTTTAATCACGTTTATTATTAACGTTAATAAATTGGCCGGTGGCACGGCGTGGCGAGGATACCCGCTCGTCGTTTTACGCATCTTTTGTTGCCGACGTCCTGTGACCAAGAGAGGAAACGGTACACCTTTCTTTATGGTTTTTGCTCATGTGAAATTCTACGCTTTGTACATTAAAGCACGCTTTACTTATTAACGTGGCTTTAATATTACGTGTAATAAATTATTTATAAAGGATATAAATAGTAATTAATGAAATATGATATTATTAGCTGTAATATAATATACATTACCTAATTACTAATACAATGGTAACGAGTAATGGTAATAATATATTATAAATATATGAAATATAGAATTCGTTCTAATATAAAATTCCATCGATGAAAGGTATAGTAACTCGACTCATACTCATTATGTGAATCCATTCTATATAATTGCATTAAGTAAAAAGCAGACTTGCTACCTACGAACGTATACCCATTCATCATCTTTACCTCGACAGAAGTTACTTTCTTCTCGACGAAGTTTCATCCAAGAGGAACAACCTAATTGCGCTTAATGTCAAGCGTGCAAATAATGTACTTAAGAAACTTTTTGAAATTGCCAATGTATCATTCATTCGAATAAACAAATATATTTCAAACGACATGCGAAGAAACGCAATGATGGAAACAAGTTTATAACTGGATTGTGCATTTTACAGATATGTAAAAAATTTTACTACGTAAAGAATGTAAACAACGCAGATGGTTCATAAAAGTGTGTACAAATGAATGTTAGCAAATTATGGGAAAATTCATGTATCACTACCATCTGTGCATTATATTTAGCGAGGTGGTAACGGTGTCAGCACTTTTCGCGACCGTCCAAATGAATATTCATCGGTTCCCGGGCTGGTTGCCCGGTGCGCGAGCGTGCGTTGCTCCCAATTTGTCACACACCGTGGCATTATCCCATTTCGCTAATAAAGTAATATTACATTACGCGAAGGCGCGCGATGCACCGCGGCTCGATTTTTTTCATTTTTTAAATCCGTTGCCACGGCGCGCAATTATGCAACTTGGTAATTGCACGGCGCCCTGCCGGCTCGCCAGTCAGCCCGTATCATCGCGTAACGAGACGCGACTTTATTACTGAGTTCCCTTCGTATATCTATACCGAGCTCAGTCGCGTAGAAAAAATAACAAATACCCTTTTCCTCGGTGAACGACACGGTGGATGTCTCATAAATTATGAAAAAATGTGGAAAATATGGAATGTAAGCTCCATCGGTAAAGATCATAGTAATAACTGGATTTTTAATGTTAAGATACTAGATTGTATTCTTTATTGCCATAAGCTGATAATTCACTATTGATATGACAAAGTTGAGTACGAATAATTCTGATGACTTCATAATCATAATTGTGAGATTATAATTCATTATAAGTATTTAATTTGGACTGGAAATAAAGAGTTGATAATCATATGTGTTAGACTTCATAAAGAGCTTCTTTTAATGGATATAATATGGCGATGGAAAGTTAATGCCTAACATTTTCTGGTTCATTATGTTGCAGGACCGTTAGAAAAAATTCGTTGAATCGGCGACAAGAAGGGGAAGGTGAAATGATCTATCGTACCAAGGTAAGTCCTTGATTTTAATTAACTGTATTCGTAATCGTCAGGACGATACCTAATTGAAATATAAAAGCACAACGTAACCGAGGCGCGTCCCCGAACTGGTACATCGAGTCGTAAAAAGTGCTGGCCAACAACATCGAGTGCGTGTCGCGCGATTCCAAGGACACCGATTTCACGGTAGATACATTAATGCAGGGCTCCGAGCCTGCGCGTCGAATAAATTTCCATCGGGACACGCCTTTGGATGCTCGATAATTCACCGGAGTTTCTATAAGGGGTCCAAACAGGGAGATTGTTTCATGAGGATTATCTCTAGGGGTAATACGAACACGTATGACATATGAATATCAAAAGTGTTTTGAAAAGAAAATAAGTATATTCAACATCCGTATAAGTTACACAAAATCAATCTGTGATGAGTTAAGAGAAAAACATAGTGCAATTGAAGTTACTTATATTAGATGTCATGCGTTGATCATTATTACATTATAGAGAAAACGACAATTAATTATTTATTTTAAAGCAAGTAATCTATATAATTTAATTTTTCCACGATTTATTATTTAACATTAATAAACAAGTATATGTAAATGATGACTGAAAAATTGACGGTGTAATTTAATGAGAATTACTATCAGTTTCTTAAAAATTGTTTGAAAATTAACTAACGAAATCAAATTTCCTCCATTGAATGAAAGATCGATTGTCCTGATTATGCAACCGAGGATTTTCGAGGCCACAAACGCAAAGTCGCCCGGTTTTAAAAGCTGCTCCTTTGCCTCGGGAGAGCGCACTTAATCTTATCGCGGCGAAGGGCTTTTGTCGGACGGGACGCGATGCTTCCTCGAAGCTTTGTTATCGGGCCCCGAACGAGGGCACGACTTTCGCCTCGACTTCCGCTTCACTGGCTATCGTCCGGTATCGGCTCGTTTCCACTTTTGTCGTAGGCCAGGCAACAGAGGAGCCAGCAACGCTTTTAACGCCAACGATACACCGGCGATATCCGCGCGACGATATTCGCATCCCTATCGACTCTTGTACTCTATTAACGATAAACATGCTTTGTGCCGCGTGATAATTACGGTGACGTCGTTTATTTAAGAGGACAGTCCTGTTTTTAACTGCCCTGTTAAATACAATTTAAAATGCTACAATAGTTAAGTTAATGAAACCTTTTAAATGCAATTCATTTATGTAGAATTAATTAGGAAATTTAGAACTATAGAAAGTATTTTAATTTCAGATAAGAAATGAGTAGACCAATTCTTGTTTTTTTAATTAATACAGTGTATTTTGGGAATATTTTGATTTATGTATCTATGGCTTGCAAGTAACGTGCAGTAACATTCGATTGAAGTAACTGTTAGAGAAATCTGATTGACAATATTTCAAGGGAAGCAACTTATGTTGCACATACGTATCATCTTAATAACGCTTATCAATTAAGTTTTACTATTGAATTAACAGGTTGATTCGATTGGGTTAAACTCGCGCTGTGCGTTTTAACATAAAGCAAGTGCACATATTCCTATTTTGCCAATAATACACGAAACAGTAGATCAGTTTGATGGATTAAGGTAACAGCCCGTGACCTCAACCTGAACTAAAACGTCGCGTTGTTTAGAGCTTGGGTAGAATCGCAGTGCAGCGGTTCACCGGCATTGTTGCGGGCGAACGGCGGACGGCGAACGAAAACGGAATCTAATCTGATGGCGCGGCGAGGCCCACCTAATGGGCAAGCCGTGTCGGAACACGCACCTCTGCTCTCGGACGCTCGTGTCCCCGGCCGAGAAGGCTAAAGTCGTGTTCGCCCTGTCCGATGACGATATCACCCTGACGCAATCGCCATACGTAATGCAGCGCCTCTTCTCTCTGTGGCAAAACCGGACACGCGCGCGGGTCACTCTCTTCTCTTCTCCTTTATCCTCTTTCTGGCGGAACCGCTGCGCTGGTCCCGATGCGTCTTTCAACTTCCTGTTTCGTCGTCGAACTCGTTTCACTGCATTTTGTATAGAGCTTGACAAGGTTTGTTTTATCTCGAATCGATAAGCTTATTTACTTTCATATAAATTCAGAAACGAGTAAAAGAAGAATCTTTTCTCTAAACAGAAATAGGAATAACGTTGAATTTAAATAATCTATTGACTTCAAATAAATATATAACATATGAGTTCGTGAGCAACGATAACAAGAGAAGGTAATAAAATTAATCAATTCTTGGATCACGAATGTCAGCAATCCTAACAAGAGTGCAGGTCTAAGTTAATAAAAAGCAGGAAACAAATGGCGCGATCAGGCTGGCCGCATCCTTAGGTGAACAAGAACAAACGCAAATTGAATCGGTCGTCCGGAGGATCGTTGCTGCTCGTAACGTTGTCACCGGCAATTCCCGACGCTTTCCATTCCGTAACGGAATTCTCTCGTTCGGGTTACACGCGGTGCGATGCGTGCCATTTGTCCCGGCCATAGCCGGAGCGGCGCGACGGAATCTACACTCGTTAGGCGAATAAATTCAATTGGAAAGCCGGCCTTTTTGCCGATAGCGCGGAACGGACGCGCAATGCGTCTTGGCGACACCGCATCGCCGTGTCCTCGCCGACGCCAACATCCACTACGTACATGGCACCGATGCTTGACGAGGGAGAAAAAAGGGTGTCCCATGCCGTACCGCGTCGCGTCCCCGCGTAACGACTTGCCTCGATTGAAATTTCACCGTGCATGCCGTACTCGCGCCATGCATTGAAACAGCAATTGTTTCATTAGATGTTACCTTTGTGATCTTGAATCTTATATATACATAAAATCGATCGAAACACGGCTTTCTTAAAAACTACCTTAAGTCAACAGTTTATATGTATAAATTTTATACAATGCAAGGTTTTTCATCAATCTTTTATAAGTATAAAAATATAAATATTCACAAGCCGCTGTATTGATTGCATGTTTGATTTGTGAAGAACCGAAGATAATTTATATCATAATTGATCGTGTCACAACTTCAGTATTACCATTTTCCTGATACAAAATACTTATGAATTATTTACACGATTGATGACATGAGCGGAGATTGAAATCTCGATACTGCTTATTACAAAAATGGGAAGCAAACACGGCGCGGTGTTCGGAAACAGGGATCAACAACGGAATAAGAAGAAACGTAGTTGCACGCGAGGTGCTCCAGGTGGCCGCTTGTCAGCGCTATCTTCTCCCCGACTCGGTGCACGTTTTCAGGTCCCTCTCACTCTTTTCTCGTTTGGGGCCCTTTTAACTCTCGGGGGCAGCTCGTGCTCGCAGCCGTGTCTTTCCCGTGATGTATATCGACCGGTTGGCGACAATCATCGGCTGCGAACGTTTCTCTCTCACGAAGCCAATTACAAGGAGCCCGCCACGCTGCGCGGATTGCGATTTATTTTCTTGCCTGACTTTTCTTCCTCTAACCGCCCCCCCCCCCAACGCCTTTCTCTCTCCCCTGTATTTCCGTTCGCCTGATCGGTAGCCTCCGATTCCGGATGTATACTCACAAAGATTGCCGAGTGGTGATGTACGCCTAACTCATTGAATTCTAGCTTAACATACGCATCAGCAACTTTGCTGGTCGCATGCTACTAACAATAAACGGGCCAGAGTTCAATGAGTCAGGTGTACAATAAGAAATACAAAAACATAGTAGATTCAAAGGTTTAAAAAAGTTGATCGATAATCCATCAACGTGGTGAAAGAAATTTAAGAAGGTAAATCATACACTGAAACTCAAAACGTGTTTCAATTACCTTTGATTAGAGAAATCGGTGGGACTGACACTAGAAGAAGAAGAAGAAGAAGAAACGTGTTCGCGCGTGTACGCAACGCGTGCGTGTTCAACGAGGAATCGCAGGCGACCAGAACAGCCGGGTCACGCGATGAGAGAAACGTTTTTTCCGTAAATGGGAACGAGACCGACGCGTTAACCGCCACACGAGGTTCCCGTTCTAATCAGACCGTGATCTTATTGCCAATGATTTAGTTTCGCCCGCAATACCGGTTGAACTGTAAGAAAAAATTGTTGCAAACCGTTTCTTTGTTATATGTATTTATGACAGATTCTTATTTGGCGCATGAATGCAATCACAGTATCGAAGCTCATTGGAATGGCCAATTGTTCTCTAATTTAGAACAATCCTCTTGCACTTTTATTACAATTTCAACGTACATCATTTTTACATAAATCTAATAAAAGGAAAAAAAGAAGTACTTCAATGTGACAGACATATTAATAGACTAACCTAATTTGTGATAATAAAAACGTCGCGGATGCAGTTTCACGATACCAAAATGGAGAAACTGGTCGCGTTTCTCAGAGCAAAACGGTTCACGCTCGGACGTTTCGAAGCGTTCGCGCACGAGGTAAATTGTCCGTGGAACGATTAAATGAATAATTCATTTCTAAATTTCATCAGTTGCACCAGGTCTGTCGTCCTCTTTCGGTCGGTAGAACGCGGGAACTTCTCCCGCGTTTCGCCACCGTGTTTCATTTAGTCACGCGGACACGCTAGGAAACGTGTCACACGCGAGTATTCTATCCGATTTTGTCGCACTCAAAGAAACGGTTACGTGTACAATTATGATTAGACATTTATAGGAAATCGTCGCATATGATGCATAAAACTACTTATATACACAAAATTTGCTTAAATAATAAAAGGAATTTGTATCTGAAATAAAATTCTCCACACTGCTTACACACTGTACATATTTATACATATAATCCTTAGTAATAAAAAAGAAAATATCACAAACTTAAGGGACGGCCTAATCCTAAACTATTAAACAGTTTGATGGATAATTAATTAAAATAAATATTTTTAATCAATTAATACAGAATTTAATCTAAACATCTGAAATATTCTGCTCCGCGTGAAATTATATGATAATGTCTACACATTTGGGGGCGAATAATCTAATCCTTCTCATTGATAATTGGAAACTGGCGTCCGTGTTCCGGGACGGCATTTCTTCACGCGTGC